AACATGGTTACCAGTATCTGCTTAGACCATCCAATCTAACATGTCCTAGTCATATAATGGTGGTGTTCTGCAAGTAATGATGGAGCGCAGGTCACAAAACGCTGTGTAATGGGGCCAGCGCATTCGCACAAATCCATCAGTCATGGCAATCAAAAGATGTTACCAGGGCGAATCACATGAATTTGTGATTGGCGACCATGATCTGTAGGCTTAGTTTTGAACAGTGCGACCAGGGTTGTCGCAGTGGGCGATTCATGCGGAAATATTATGGCGACAACCAAACACATCAGTCGTGAATGGCGGCCTTGGGTGTGGGCGTGTTCCTAACAATAACAGGGCTTCCCGCGGTTTTCGCATCCGACCGATTCTCACTATCCAGTAGAATCATGAACATGGATTGGATTTGTCAGTGTTCGCCAGGACAAAACAACCAGCATTTGTTGTTGGTTCTGTGGTAGGGCCGCTTGTTTCACACAGCAGTGTCGTTCCCGCGGCCGCCGAGTTTGTGCGATTACGCGGTTGGTCATGTACATCGTGCAGACGATATCTAGTCTCTGCCCACGCACAAAATTCTTTTATGCCAATGTTTCCGCTAGTCGCCTGGACGCATCAGATTGGTTTCACTTTGTTGATGTTGCTTGTTGTGGAAGGGAGCGCTTGCACACTCACAGATGGAGATTGCATCGAGGTCACGCCTGGGCAGGGCGGCAGGACGCGGGCGGACCGGTGCGCGGGGATGGCAGCCAGCAACGCCAGGTGTTCCCTTTCAGAAGCCGCGACGGCGGATATGTCCGCGACCCCACGCCGCGACCGTCTTCATGGGAGCTAGGGCTTACGCCCGCTCGGGGAGCAGCAGGGCGCCCGTGCCGTGCACTGTCTTCTCCGCGGACCGCGGACGGCGGCCCAGGGATGGCGGTGGAATCGACAGGATCGCTATCGAAGGGGTCGCCGAGAGCTGAGTGAGTTGAAACACACGGCCGAATGAGGGCGGCCAGACGGCATTGCAATAAGGACTGCAGCGAGATTAAAGGCACAGGCGAACTCAGACCTGATCGACGACTTTATCGGGTCCTCAATCGCGGTGCGGAGAAGCTGGTCGATGCGGCGGCGGTGTGCAGGAAGCCACACATATCACCGCCGGATGCCGATCATTCCGGCCGTCGTCACGCCGGCGTGGTCGGGGTTCTCCTCATACATCACGGCAGGCGATCCAAGAATCTGGATGAGGTAAACGACCCATGATCGGGATACAGAGCAGACGGCGGAGCAGACGGCGGAGCAGTTGCTGTGGTGGTGGCGTCGTTGTCATGTTGTGCAACGTTGCCCGATGACGCGCCGTTAACGTCGTATCTCAAACAAAGGTTCTATAGTATGACGAAGCCCGCGGAGCTTGGAGGAAAATAGCTAAGAAATAGGGGTGAGTCCCAGAAACTAATGCGCACTGCACCATTTAGCTAAGGATTCGGGAATGTGCTGTATATGGCAGTTGGGGGCAACAATTTGGAACGCGTGCCGCGGAGGGCGGGAGGATTAAGTCAGAGGAATGTGTACGAGCCGTATTCAGTAGCCAACATAGAGGACTCGCAAGTTGTGTCCCGTTCGGTACGACATAGCCAGTCGGGAGGCAATCGGGGGAAATCACGGTGTGCGATAGGTAGGCCATACCAGGAGCTAATCCCACTGCACGAGCAGTGTCATGATGACCTCGATATTGGCGAAGAAAATGGTAGGGTAACATGTTGGGAACTTCGTCATCTGAGACTACTGTGTGCAGAAAGATTGGTTCCCTCCACCGCAGGAAAGAGCACCCTGAGTTGCTGTTTAGAGGGAAGAGAGAGACAGCATTTATTGGGAGAGAGGCAAAGGCACGGTAGAAGGCCGCAGAAACGTGTCTGCGGGAAACGTGCTCTGTGCCGGTTTGGCATCTCTCTTCCCTCGGGCTTATAAAAAATGTTAATAAACGCAGTTAAATGATAGGGTGCATGCGTTCACTCACCCTCGCACTCATTGGAAAAACATTTCACAGCAAAAATGTCGAGATCGTAATCTATTTTCAAAGTGATGATCCCCGAGTTCGCATTCCAGTGTAGCAGGACCTGTCTGCAGCATTCGGAGATTCATGAAGCACTGTGCTGTGCACGTGAAGCATCCTTTTCGTGATGGAACGCTGTGCGGCAGGCTTAATGGTTCGTTCTGCAATGTGGGTTTGGCCTAGAACCGTTCAGGGTTACCAGATTACTAAACCCATCGTCGACGATTCTGTGTATGCCTCAGGGCGAGCGAGCAACGCGTCTGGAACCCGTGAATCAATCTGGTGGAGGAGGAGTGATGCCGCCGTACATGAAGGCGATGATACATATCGTCCGGTTGGCCTCCGTTCTTTCTTTGTATATAGGTGGCGGTGATACGGTGAGGGTCGGGCTACTTCAGTACAGGCCTGCCAAGAAGACTAAGCGAGAATGGCTTTCGCATTCTTTGTTGTCACCCTGCATGCTATGCTCGGAAGTGGAAGAAAACTGGTAAAGAACTGGCATGGCCAACCAAGAGTGAAATGACAAACCTCACGCGCAACCAATGATCGCCTACAAAAACGCCGAATTTTCCAACTCCTATGTTCAAAAAACATGGTTTAGCGCCCTGAAAGGTGAACACGATAGATAGCGCGCAGTACGTCAGATTCGCGAGGGTTTTGCCTACACTCCTTGCTGGCGTCGTTCGGTCTTCAGAAAGCCCCTGTCATTGGGTTGCCATGTAGAGTAGCTTCTATTAGCGTGTGTGCCGCTGCAGCAGCCACGCACAGGTCGTTATTAGCCGTGCAAAGTCCCTTGCTGCTGTCATATCTGTAGGCAGAGCCATGACCGTCAAGGATGTGTAACTAAAGCGACCACGAGGAAGATGACGAGGACACAGGAAATGAAATTGTGTCTTCGTGATGTACAAGGGTTGGTGCCAAGGACTTACCCCGCCCTCGTATTCTTGTTATGATGCTGTTGTCGATTTCCTCATTTTTGTTTAGTTCTACGCGAGGAGTGAACCCGGCCAGCCGCCTGAATACTGCACGGTCTTCCACCACATGATAAAAAGCGCGGGATCCACCATTAAGCGTACCCTTTACATGTCTTCACGGATCGCACGTGCCCCGAGGCCAGGTGCGACTACTGCATGTTGAAGAAGCCTTGGAAATATATTGCTTGGAGCATCGAACCCCGTAATACTCTACATACGTATGAAATTGTGTCAGTCCTGGCCTTGGTCTTTATTTTGGTTTCAAGGTACGAAGTAAAGGTGAACCCTCTGCCCGGCGCTTCGCAGCCCCCTTCAGAAGACAGTGCTGAAAGTATATCCATTGCACATTGGAGGACATGATCAAGGGGCCAAGGTGTACGAGACGCGGACGTGTGGGGTCTGAACAGCGTGGATATCCGCTTTAGACAGAGTGTCGAACAATTGAAAATTACTATGAGCCGCGGAGCGAGCGAAGCGAGCGACGTTTTTTCCCGTCTCATCCCCAGGAGGGAAAAAAAAGACTATACGTCGGCCAAAGTTGCGCCGCGCGATACAGGGGCCCCAAAACTTGATTTCTGGGAAGCCGATATAGTCTACTTTTGCAACCAGAGCGAGATCTATAGGGCACCGATTGACGATCTGTTCGCTTTTGAAGATCAAGAAAAACAGCGCGCTCTGCGTCACACCGATGTCGTCGTGCTCCCAGAACAGATGGCCATGCTTCATTGGCATTTGTAGGGTAATTTCGTAGGAGATCTTGCTCCCCAACCCCGGGGTTTCACACGAAAAGGCGTGTATACAAAAGCGGAGATCGCGCGCGCGAGATTCAAAGCAGGACAAGAAAAACATGGACAAGAAACACCGACAGAGACGCAATAACACCACCAACAAATGCATCACCGCTGAGACGCTGGTCTGAGACCAGCTATGAAAACAGGAGGTGCCGGGCCTATACGACCTCTGTGCACCGTGGGTACCCTGTAGGCATGCGCCATGTGTAACCTGGCGGGTGTTAATTGATGTTGAGTGGGCCCAACCGACTGAGAGCAGACCGATGATCACAATTGAACACACCTTCCCAAGCGAGTCCAGATCACACCTGCCATCATCGAGAGAAACCGCCGAGGGCGTGAGGGTCTACTGCTGCTGCTGTGCGTCATCAGGATGGTTCCCCGCGGGATCGGTCTAGATTGCANATGTGTAACCTGGCGGGTGTTAATTGATGTTGAGTGGGCCCAACCGACTGAGAGCAGACCGATGATCACAATTGAACACACCTTCCCAAGCGAGTCCAGATCACACCTGCCATCATCGAGAGAAACCGCCGAGGGCGTGAGGGTCTACTGCTGCTGCTGTGCGTCATCAGGATGGTTCCCCGCGGGATCGGTCTAGATTGCATCATCTCTGAGCGTAATTTCGTTGTGAACTAGCAGCAAAACGATGCTGCAGATGCCAGGAGGCTGTGTAGCCTACCTCAGAGGTTCACACTCTGTGCGGCTCCAACTGCGAGTGACTTGGAATGGAAATATGAATATGTTGATATTTATTGCTGACTCCCGAGTCAAATTTATGTTGCTGGTACTGAAGAGGAGTCAGGGGTGGCGAGCTTAAGGCTGCACCACTCTCCTCGAGTACCGGACAAACAAGCCAATCACAAAAAAGATCTAGAATGCTTCCAGAATGATTCTGGAAGCCCTCCTACGTTCTAGAAGAGTATCAACTGCAACCTAGGTCTAAGACGCTTTCAGCAGCTTCCAGAAGCTTCCAGAAGCTTCCAGAAGATTCCAGAAGCTACACACGTTCTACGTAGATTTCCCGGTCAACCTTGACCTAGCATGCTTCCGGAATATTTCTCGAACAAGAGAATACATGCCACGGAGAGCTGGATTCCTTTCTGCTGCTATGCAGACTAGTTGCTGCAATCGTATTCAAAGGTCAAACCGTGTCCGACTACTGGTGGTCTCGACGCACTATTTTTCCTGACACGACCCCTCGATCAAGCAACTAATTCACAATGGTCAACCGCATCACCATATCCATTTCTACCTCGACCCCTCCGTTGGCATCGTATCGAAAATATATTCCTTCTTGTATGACGCGTATGGTAGGAAGCTCAACAGATGTTCGATCAACACGAGAAGTCCTTGATCTGCTGAATGATCGAGGCGAATCGGTGCTTTGGTAGGTGCTTGGTCGCGATATCAGCCAAATGGTGCTCGCTGGGTAGGTGAAGAGTGATTGTCCCCGCTCCACTAGCTCCCGGGTTAAAAAGTACCTCAGGGCCACGTGCTTCGTGCGTTGAGAGTGCATGGTATTCCCGGCCACTGTCAGCGCTCCAGTGCTGTCGCTGTTGATGGGAACCGATCCGAAGGTCTTGAAGTTGAGTTCCGTCATAAAAATTGAGATGAAGACCGCCTCACTGGCTGAGGAGCTAAGTGCTTGAATCTCGGCTTCGACCGTGCTTTGAGCGGTTAGAGTTTGAGTCTTCGCACCGTAGCTGATGAGTCCTCCAGCCAGAAAGAAGAGATATCCCGTGGTAGATCTTCCGTTGTTGGGGTTTGCTCCGACGGATGAATTCGTAACCGCCGCTAGCCGAAACTGTCCTCTCCTGTAGACGATAGGAAGCACTGGATTACCCCGAAGGTATCGCAGAACGTGCTCGGCTGCTGTCATGTTCACTTGCGCTGGGTTGCTGCAGGCCTTGGACAGTTGTAGGGCCGCGGAAGAGAGGTCGAATCGCGTGCACTAGGCCAGGTAGAGGATGCTTCCCGTCATCGACTGGTAGATTTTCTTGTCCGTGGGTCCTAGGATTGGCCCTGTTGATTCGTGGAGATTTCCGCTCCGTATCCAGGAGTGCTCACTGGGTTGGCCTCTTGCATTCCGAACCGCTCCAGAAGTGTGTTCACGTAGTGCTCCTGTGAAATGGCCAGGGTTCCTTCCTCGAGATACCGCTCTACGTCGATCCCGAGGATCCGCTTTACCTCTCCCATGTCGGTCATCTCGAATCGATCCATGAGCTCCTTCTTCGTCTGGTCGACGGGCTGCTGGTCTCCTCCCGTGATGAGAATGTTGTCTACGCAGACCGTGAGAATCACGATGATGTTGCCGCTGGTATACACGTACACGCAGGGGTCGGGTTGAGTTTTCTTCCATTTGAACACCGTGAAAGACTCGTCCAGGGTGTCGTTCCAGAGCGCCGGCGACTGCGATAGGCCGTAGAGGCTCCGTTCTAGTTTGTACACCATGAGTTCTCCTGTCGCGGAGTTGTTGGCGGATGTGCCGGGGGCGGGTCTGACGTACACGTCTCTGTCGCAGAGGGCGTTTAGGAAGGCACCGACAACGTCCAGTTGGTAGATGGGCCAGTTGTTGTGGCAGCCAATTGCGGATGTCATGCGAAAGCTCCCCATACGGCATACTGGGGCGTAGCTGCGTCCGTAATCCAGTCCTGGCTCTTGATGATGTCCTCCGACTACCAGGCGAGCTTTGAAGAGTCCATCCAGCTTTTTCTTGACGAATTTCGTTGCGAGGATCTTCTCTTCTCTGGGAACGCTACTGGGGGGCACCAGATTGTAGACGTTGTGTTTCCGCAGATTGTCCGTCTCCTTGCTGCACGCTCCTTCCCATTCTTCGCGTTGGGGAGAGCTCATGGCTTCGTCGTAGGTGTTGGGGATCTCAATGGCTTGATTCGTCTCCTCCAAGATCCCGTGGTGGTCGTGAGTGGTCGTGACGTGGGCGTTAGCACGCGGCACAGTGAAGGGGTCTTCCGCCACGTGGGCGAAATCCTCAGTATCGCCAGGGCATGGGAGCTGGGCTTGATCGGCTATCTCAGCCAGCTGAGTGAAGGAAACACCGGATGGCTCCACGCGGCCCGTTGCAGCATGGGCTCGACCGCGGTCGTTCATGGTGACTTGCAGATCGGCAGGAACCAAGTTAACGTCGATCTGATCGTCGTTGGTGGGCTTCCCGTGCGTGCTAGCTCTGGTGACTTGCAGGCGCCGGATGCAGAAGGATCCAGTTGACACTGAAGTGTCCGGTTCGGACGGGTTCGACAATGATGGGCTGGGGCTAGATGCGTGGGTTTCGGATGACGGTCCAGCTGGTGTCGATGAGAGATGCGGTGATGGGGCGACCCCGTCGCTGAGATCCTGCCCGTTGTCATGTTCATCCTCTTTCCCGTCCAGTTCTAGGCGAAGCTCCTCCCGACCGAGATTGTCTTGCTGCATCTTCCGGACTTCTTGCCGAAGGAGTTCGTTCTGCGCCGTGAAGTCCAGGTCGCTCGTCGAGTGGGGGCTGTCCAGCAGGGAGGTGAAGCTCAGCATGTCGCTCTCGTACCCGTTTGCTTCAGTGGAATACTGGAATGGCACTCACCGGGGTGGATATTCGATAAAAGTAACATTCCGGCTCTCGACCACGGCCCCGTTGGATGGATTGAATACCCGGTAGGTCTGGCTGTAGAGGCCCAAACCATATAGCTTGCCTTCGAAAGCTCTGTCGTCCAGCTATATGGTNGGTCTGGCTGTAGAGGCCCAAACCATATAGCTTGCCTTCGAAAGCTCTATCGTCCAGCTTCTTTCGGTATCTCTCGTGGTGTACGAAGGCGCGCGCTCCAATGGCCCGAAGTCCCGAGAGATCAGGTGACTTACTGTGCAACTTCGAGTATGGCGTAGCTCCCCTCGGTGCTGACTGTGGGGACCTGTTCAACAGGTATGCTGCAGTCAGCATTAGCTCCCCCCACATGGACGGCGGAAAATCTCCATCCTCCAGAAGACACCGGGTGACTCCGGCCAGGGTTTGTCCATCCCGNAGAGGCCCAAACCATATAGCTTGCCTTCGAAAGCTCTGTCGTCCAGCTTCTTTCGGTATCTCTCGTGGTGTACGAAGGCGCGCGCTCCAATGGCCCGAAGTCCCGAGAGATCAGGTGACTTACTGTGCAACTTCGAGTATGGCGTAGCTCCCCTCGGTGCTGACTGTGGGGACCTGTTCAACAGGTATGCTGCAGTCAGCATTAGCTCCCCCCACATGGACGGCGGAAAATCTCCATCCTCCAGAAGACACCGGGTGACTCCGGCCAGGGTTTGTCCATCCCGTTCCGATACACCAATTTGTTGAGGGGTGTTGGTGGCGGCGTATTCGAGCTTCAGAGCTGAATTCTTGCAGTAGTCTCGAAATTCGGATCCGGTGTTCTCGCCTTCCTTGTCGCAGCGGATGGTCTCGGTCCGGTAGCCTCGTGCCGCTGCGACGCACATGTTGTACGTATGAACCGCCTCGGTCGAGTCAGATTTCTTGCGAAGCAGGTACACTTCTTTCATCTTCGTGTGGTCGTCGGTGATCTTACACGCGTACGGGAAGGAGCCTCCTTTATATTTCGCAGGTGGATTAACAGGCCCCATGTTGTCGATGACCACAAGTTGTCCAGGCCGTGATAGTTCGTGAGTCGATTGCTTCGGGTGGGAGGACTGTTTGTGTTTCGCGATCTGGCAGACCCCACAAGGGGAGAGACTGTCGCGATAGTCCACCCCGGTACCCGTGTCTTTCCGAAGGATGTCCAGGCTCCGAGCATTGAGATGTCCAAGCCTCCTGTGCCAGGTGTCCGCGGTCACAAGCGTAAAGCAGACGGCGTTCGCCGTGTGGGTCTGTGACTGCTTCTGGTGGGGCACGAGGGATCTCGTGGCAGATGGCTGGACGTTCTGCTCGAACGTGATGTCGAGGGTGCACATGCCTTGGTCTCGCGGATCTTGTGGGAGTGGAATCGCTCTGCCTTGAATAGTGAGGTGCGGAGTGCTTTTTTCGGCGACGCAGCGCAATCCATTCATCAGGAGGGAGGTGGGCGAAAAAATGTTGCGACCAAGTCCCGGAACGATGAGTCCCTGAATCCGCACGCGCAATTGCTGTCCTCGATTGTCCTTGACGGTGCAGTGTAGAATGCCCGTGGTCGTGTCTGTGAGTTGGCTTTCTCCGGCCACGTCAACGATCTTCGGAGAGTTTCGCTGGGTGTAATCGTGAAGGTTCCGTCGCGGATGAGGCGATTGTCAAACATGGTCTCCAATGCTCCCGTGTCTACCAGCAGTCCTACCCCGGTGGAGCTTGCGGCGAAGTTACGTCCTGNTTGTCAACGATCTTTGGAGAGTTTTGCTGCGTGTAATCGTGGAGGTTTCCGTCGGGGATGAGGCGATTGTCAAACATGGTCTCCGATGCTCCCGTGTCTACCAGCAGGCCTACCCCGGTGGAGCTCGCGGCGAAGTTGCGTCCTGAAATGCGGGAACACGTGGCGAACATGAAGTCGCTGTCGAAGGCGTCCTCGTCCCGGTCGACAACTGCCACTTCATTGTTTGAGTCGTGCTTGTTGGACGCCGACGAGCAGTGAGTGCAGTCGGAGCACGCGGTGAATGCTTTACTTGAGTCCTAGGTGTCTTCCGGGCGCTTTCCTCCTTGCTGGTAGCATTCCGCGTCCGAGTGAGACGTAGTGTTGTGCTTGGAGCACCACTGGAAAGCTCCGGCGGGCTTCGTTTTCTTCGTCGCCCTGTTCTCAATCTTAGGACAGTTCCTCCTGATGTGCCCCGGCTCGTAGCAGCTGTGGTAGATGATGTCAGACGCGGTTGTTGCCATGGCAAATCCTCGACCAGCTATGCGTCCCTTCCATCCCTTGCGCGATTGTTCGTTCAAAAAGATGTTGCGCATGGTGGATTGCATGTCCAGGACGTTGAAGGTTGGGTCCCTGAACACCATCTGTTTGACGTCCTTGTATTCGTCGGAGAATCCCTGTACGCAAATGTCCTTGAAGCGGCGGTCGGAGATGGGTTCTCCCATCTTTTCCAGCTGGGCGCGAAGTAGGTGCTTCTGGTTGAAGTAGTCGTCGGGATTTTCACCAGGGTTCATGGGGTTGTTCTCCAGCTCCTCCATCTTCGCCCTGATGACCCGTCCGTTATCCTGTCATAGTTGGTGCAGAGCTCCTCGAAGGCAGCTTATCGGTCGCCGCTGATGCCAGGGTCGTCTTCGTGCTTCTGTATCGACAAGGCGGCCGGAAATTCTACTAGGAGGAAAAGAATGGCGTAGAGATCTTCGCTTGCCGTGTTGGAGTCGAAGGCCGCTGTGTCTGCGGGATCTGGCTTACTTTGTTTCTTCAGCAGTGGCAGGATGTCCTTCCTGGTCACACTTAACACCACGCAGAATTTCTTCATCCGTGTCTTGAACTCAGCTGGGTCCTTTCCGTCGAATTTCTTGAGGCCTTTGATCACGGTTGCCAGGTTCGTAGAACTATCGCTGGCGAACGCGCTTCCACCTCCTGTGTTGCTCGTTGCAGTATCCATTGCTCGTTCCAGCTTTATTTTCTTCGTCTTGATAAAAGTACTTCCTGCTGTAGGAGTAAGTTTGCTCGTGGTACTACTGCCTGTACCCGAGACTTCCCCACCCCGTTCCTGCTACTGATATAGAAAACTCCGGTTGTGATTTTCTTGTTTCCGAACCCGCTCCTGCTACTGATATGGAGGACTCCGGTTGTTGATTGCCTCCGCTGATGATACAGTGTAGTTCCTTGTACACCCGATGCGTATGCCGCTCGAGACTCCCGCGCACGTGACCCTTGCTGCTAGTTCACCACAGAGATACCCGCTACTGCCACAGGGGTGGTAACGTGTGTATACGACGTGAACCCTCAGCACCTTGGTGTAGATGACCAAGTTTGCGCGTCTGCTTGTGTTGCCGTTGACCGATGACGGCGTCGCAATCTCCAGAAATCTCCGAAACCAGGTTCTCTCGTTGTCCACGGATGAAGGTTGATGTCCCGAGAAGAGGTTGCCTTGATCTTCCCGTGATGTTCGCAGCTCGTAGTGTGTGCGTTAGCCGAGGCTCATAACCTGTCAGCGATATTTCGCTGTGCACTAGCAGCAGTACGATGCTGCAGATGCCAGGAGGCTGTGTAGCCTACCTCAGAGGTTCACACTCTGTGCGTCTCCAACCGCGAGAGACTTGGAATGGAAATATGAAGATGCTTTTATTAGTTGCTGACTCCCGAGTCAGATGTTGCTGGTACTGAAAAGGAGACTGAAGAGTAGTCAGAGGAGTGGACGAGCTTAGGGCTGCACCACTCTTCTCGAATACCGAACAAATAAGCCAATCACACGAAAGATCCAGAATGCTTCCAGAATGATTTCTGGAAGCCCTCCTACGTTCTAGAAGAGTATCAACTGCAACCTAGATCTAGAACGCTTTCAGAAGCTTTCAGAAGGAACCAGAAGTTTCCAGAAAGGCTTCCAGAAGCTACAGGAGGAACCAGAAGTTTCCAGAAGGCTTCCAGAAGCTACACACGTTCTACATAGATGTCCCGGTCAACCTTGATCTAGCATGCTTCCGGAATATTTCTAGAACAAGAGAATACATGCCAAGGAGAGATGGATCATTTTCTACTGCTACGCAGACTAGTTGCTGCAATCGTGTTCAAAGGTCAAACCGTGTCCGACTACTGGTGGTCTCGACGCACGATTTTCCTGACAATCTTTACCCTGAGGGGAGAAAACGGCAAACCGCTAGAGAGCAATGATGATCTGTTGTTTGTTGCTACTGATGATGATGACGCGACGCTACAAAGATCGCAGTAACTGACAGCTGCTTGGCGTGCTGCCGTGGTTTGTAGCGGGCCGCTCGGTATTGCTTTGCTTTCTTTCATTCTCAGTGTTTGGTCTTTAGATACATACACAGAAGTGGTAGAAGCCTGCGTGTAGAAGTCGAGCAGGGTGACTCTGAGTACGTCAGAGATATTGACGGAATATGTTGAGTTCAAGCAGGGAGACTCTTGGTTATCGGAATGTTTGCGGTGAAGCTTGTGTTGGGCTGTCCAAAAAATGCCCCCGAGAGACCAGTACAGTAAGCAGATCTCGGGATAACCCTGCTTTGACGGGCGTATGATATTGTTTTTTGCTTTCGAGATAAGACTCAAGCGCGCTCACGCCCCCTTTGTGCTCACTCCACTTTAGCACCTTCAAACCTGACGTGGGAGTCAGTCAGTAATCAAACATCTTTCTTTGCTACTTCGTTCCAAGGCACACATCAAGTTGCACCCGAACTCGAAGTTTAACCTCTGTGTAGGATGTGCAATCACAGCTGCTGTGCAATAACAGTCTACGAAGCGATCGCTGCTCACAGCACTCACCCGCTGCTGCAGAGACGCTTCTCCCGACAGGTAATGAGCCTTGCATGAAGGCGTACACATTGAGCTGTGGACAAGACAACGAGTTCAGCCACCGGACCTCCTCGCTTCACCAGCCTTCTGTGCTTCAACTGCGGAGAAGATACAGCGGGAAACGGTTCAGCTTTCGGTTCAGCTTTCGGTTCAGAGATGAAGAAGATACGAGGACGAGCCAGGACGAACGAACTCCGACTGAGGAAGACAAGCGACATACGGTTTCACACACACAAGACAGGGGCTTCACAAAGTGGGAGGAGCTCCTTCAGTGCTGAAATCACCAAGGCGTTCGCTGGAAACAAGGGCTCATACACAGAGTAGATAACTGTTGCATCACCAGCAGGGACGGTCCACACCGTAGTCCTATACACCCATACGCAAGGAGAGCGTAAACAGGAGCGGGGGCGGGAAAGCGCGACCTACAACCGTAATCCTCTTGAGCAGGAGCGGGGTCGAGACGGTCTGCATCGTAGTCCTTTACACCCAATTGTAACGAGAGGGTAAGCAAGAGCGGGGCCGGGAAAGGACAACCTGCAACCGCAATCCTTTTGAGCAGGAGCGGGGTCGGGAAAGGACGACGTGCAAGCGTTTTCCTCTTGAGTAGGAGCGGGGTCGAAACGGTCTGCACCGTAGTCCTACACACCCAACGAGAGGGTAAACAGCAGCGGGGCCGGGAAAGGACGACCTGCAACCGCAATCTTTTTGAGCAGGAGCGGAGTCAGGAAAGGACGACTTACAAGCGTATTCCTTTTGAGTAGGAGCGGGGTCGAGACGGTCTGCACCGTATTCCTACACACCCAACGAGGGGTAAACAGGAGCGAAGCCGGGAAAGGATGACCTACAACCGCAATGCTTCTGAGCAGGAGTGGGGTTGGGAAGGTACGACTTACAACCGCAATCCTTTTAAACAGGAGCGGGGTCGGGAAGCCTCGGGTTCACACCACGAGAAAACAACTGCTATGACGGGAGAGACTGCTGCAACAGACAGCAGGGAACATCAGCATCGTCCTGTTCACCTCACGGCAACAGAAGCGCATCACGATAGAAATAACATACCAGGATGGGTGATTATTCGCCCCGGCGACAACACCTCCAATCTCGTCAACACCATTCGAGGGCTGAAGAATTTCGACGGAAAGAACCAAGCTGAATTCAAGGACTGGATGAAAAGGCTGTGCGTCGTCGTGGGAGTTACGCGTAGGGACATCCGTCCACTGCTGAAAGGCCGGAGTCGGCCCGCGGAAACGGATGATGACTACGTCGCCTACTGCTAGTCGAACGATGACGTGTACGCCAAACTCTACCTGCTGGTGGAACGACCGGCGTCCCTGATGGAACAGAAGCACGAGAACGACGGGGAGATCGGCGAAGACTGTCAGGCAGCCTTGGAGGAATCGAACTTGAACTACAACAAAGTTACGGACGAAGTGATTCAAGCAACCATGGTGGAGCTGATCAACACACCCATGGAACCCGGACGACTACAGTACCGTGCTACCGCTCTTACTGCATTCGCGATATCTGGCCTCGTTTGCGTTGCCAGCCACATCAGCGATCCTATCAGCTCGCGAAAAGGCCATGATACCACTTCCTCATCCTGGTCAAACTCTGAAAGCTTTAAACCTACAGGAAGAGGAATTTCCTTCCCGTACTCTACCCCAAACTCCATCCCCAACTCTTCAGCGTACGTCTGCTGCGAGATCTTCAAAGTCCGTGCATCCCAATTCCTCTCATAAAAACATCCAGAGTACCATCTCCAGTCACCAAGACTCTTCACCGGTACCATGGTGTTGAGGTCCCCACCAAATTGGTCACACCTCTCCTCTCCAATCGAAAAAAAACCATCCACATGTACTACCAGAGTCACTACCACTCTTCCCTCCTCCATCAACCGAAACACACACGTATCCGCCAGACGCTGAACAAAACCCAAACAAATCAAACACCTCGCCAAGTGTGAAATGCCATTGCCTTGATGCCTGCTTAGGGCCATACAGACTCCTGTTCAACTTCACTATCATGCCTGACAATCTACCACATCCCTCTGGCAAGGCACATGAAAACATCCTCATCCGAATCCGAATGGACAAATGCTTGGTTGATGTCAAAATGCCGAAGAGAAAGACTTTGCTCACATGCCATCGTTGCCAACAAGCGAACGCTAGAAACCACTACAGTCAGTGCACACGTCTCTCCACCATATACATGTACTCGCTGCATATCTCCTCTCGCTACTTGCCGTAATTTCACACTAGTCGGCCATCCATACTCATCAGAATTCCAGTTACACACCCACTTGGACTTGATAACACTCTCTGGTTGCTACACTACTTCCTCAAAGGTAGCAGCCTCCATCAGACCTCTGAACTCCCTCTCTACAGAGTCTACACACAAGTCAGCATACCAGAAGACACAGCCTCCTTACACGTTTTGAGCACGCGCAAGTCGTTGGCATAGCAATGTGGCAAGTTCGGTGCCACTTCCGGGGGATTGAAATCCCTGATCGTGCGATCAATGTCCTCGCGGGAGGCAAGCGAGGTGGCGCACGCACATGGGACTTCTTCACGCAGTCCTTCTGTTTTCATGCCCTCCCGCTCTCGCCCCCCCGGCTCCGCTGCTTCACGTCCTCCGGCTGAACTCAGGATCTCCTTTCTCCCCCTATCGACGACGCTGCGAGTGGTGAGAGTCGACAGGAGCGTTGCCTTGTCCTGCAGGGATACAAGCCCGAAGCGGTGGCGCGGTGGTGGTGAACGGTGACGTTCGAGGCGGCGCGGTGACCGTTGGCGATGGTGTGGCTGCGGTGGACGGCGCCGACGGCGTTGGTGGTGTGGAAGTTGCCGGCGGCGCCTGTGAGGATCCTGTGAGGATATGGCAGCGGGTGAAGTGGAATATCGGGCGAACGGTGAGGGGGGTAAAAGAGGCGATGAAATGTACTCAATTAGAAACGGTGCGGCGGCGACATCCGAATCGCCCGCCGGCGCCGGCACCTCCAGCGTCGGGGTCAGAAACGGCGCGCGGTCGGAGACCCACACGACGTTGTTCGTCATGCACACGCGCCCCGTCGCGAACTTGAGGACCTTGACTGCCGACTCGTGATGGTTGTCGCCGTTGTTGAGGTAGCAGCACAGCACTGCCTGGGGATTGATCTTCCGCGCGCGCATCACACGCGTGTACCCCGGCTTTAAGAACGGGACGATCTAGAGCGGGGGCGGGTGGCCAGTGAAGAGCTCGTGCGGCGACTTGTACCCGACGTTTGCCTTGGTCGGAGAACGGTTGGCACCGCCGGCAGCCCAGTGACACGACTCCAGCCAAAGTCGCTCGTCATCGTGTCCAAAGCCGGGGACGCGGGTGAAGTCGATCTTGCGGAACAGGCGGCGTGCCTCGAGACGAGCGGCGTGACCGGCCTTGCTTACGCGCCAGATTGCACTCTCCGCCTGACCATTCTGCTGCGGGGTGTCCGGCGCCGTGTACGTAGGGCGGATGCCGGCGTTGTCGCAGAAGGCGATGAAGTCACGGCTGACGAACTCCCCCCCGTTGTCCATCCGGAAAGAACGAGGGACACCGGTGCCACTCATGTCGGCGAGGAGCTTCTTGATGAAGGCGAGGGTGTCCGACTTGCGCCTCATCCCGTACAGCAACCGCGAGAAGCTGTCCACGAACATGATCATGAAAAACGACCCCCACAGCGAGGCCGCCATCTGCCCACACAGATTGATATGCCAAAGATCGTGCGGCCGCTCCGCGCGCGTGCCCGCTTGGTGAGGCACGTCCGCCTTCTTCCCCTTCGCCTGCAGACATCCACCGCAAGGCTGCAGGACACCGGTCAGTCGGAGACCGTGCTGCTTCGCAAGCTCAAGCAATAGAAACTCGTTGGCGTGGGAGCACGACACGTGGAAAAGGTTAACATCAATAATCTTGGAGGGTTTCCCCACCGAAAAAGGGCGCTTGCCCGGGGCCATGACGGGGACGGTGAAAGCAACATCATCGAAGACATTTGCAAATCCAGACTCAAACATCAATTCTAAAAACTCGTAGGGGTCTTGTGATACCTCTCTTTGTTCCAATAGGTACACAGCCCACTCGTAATCTCCATGCTCTGTGTACGGAATGCATCTACGGTTATCATCGTCATTACTCTGCTGAAAAATGGAGACCATGGTCGAGGGCAGCCCGGGAACAGCTACCAACTCCATTCCATGCGGCACTTGAGGAGCGGAAGGACACACCACACTCCTGTCAGTGAGGGGGGGGGGCATACATTGCCGGAGGAACGACTGTGCTCGCAGCGGGCGGGAGACCGTACACAATTGATGACACTACGCTGTTTGCAGCGGACCAGAAATCGGGCACAGTAGAGGCCACTACGCTAGTTGCAGCAGGCGGGAAACCGTGCGCAGTAGAGGGCACTACGCTGTTTGCAGCGGGCGGGAAACCGGGCACAGTTGAGGGTACTACGCTGTTTGCAGCGGGCGGGAAACCATACACCGTGGAAGGTACTACGCCGGCAGCACCGGGCGGAAAATTCGACACGGGGGGTTGAACAACACTCCTGGGAGCGGTATGAGCTACAGACATCACCGGAGGCATTAAGCTGCTTTCAGCGGGCGGGACACCTGACACTGCGGAAGGAACGTACGCTACACCCGGAGGGGGGGAAAACACCGGTGGGGTTTCCGGCATCACTCTACCATCACTCGCATGGAAACGTACACCAGCAGCGCGGGGAGGGGGCACCGGGGAAAAGGCATCACAGGCACAACGGTGGGCGTTTCATTGTTGGGCGGCAAGCGGGTGGCCCAAGGCGACGAACCCCTCTCGCCACGGGGAAAGGTCAATTGGCCATGGAAAAGTTGGGTGCCTGCGTCGTCCAAGGCAATACGTTGCAATCCCTGTAATTGACTGAGGGAGAAAAAATTGAACCCCATTCCTTCTACATGACGTACTCGGGAAAGGTTCACGCAAAAGTCTCCAACTTCAAGATGGTTACAACACCGATTTCAAGCACTCGCATTGTCCTGCCATCACCGATCTGAGCTCTCTCGCTACCAAGGGGCGGGATGATCACATTGTACATGTTCGTGGGGTTTCCGGCGGTGTGGTTAGTTTGCACCGGAGTCTGCAAGCCATTCTCCAACTCCTACACGCTCCGCCCTCACAACCGGTATAGAGTTCATCAAGGCATACCCCTCACCCCCTACGAATCCACTCGAAATCTCACTCTGGTACTCACTTGACATGTCCCTTACAACACACGCATGCAAAGTCCCCCCTGCCGACGAAGGTGCTCCGGTCAAAGGCGCGGGAGAGGCGTAAAGGGCGGGGACTGACTGCTGCTGTTGGAAGGGGGGGGATAGGTACTCCGACTGCTGCTGTTGGGGTGGGTATTCGTACACACCGCTCGCGTGCGTCACCGGTTGTTGATGAACACCGGTCACGTGCGTCACTGCATGTCCCCCCGTAGATGGTGCTGCCGTCGTCGCCACCGTCGCTCCTGCTGCTCCTGGCTCTACCCCTTCTCCGCCGTACTGCTGCGCGGTGTTGGCCTGCCCGTACGAGTGGGCCCACGGCGGCCGCTGGCTGTAGCCATCGGCCGGCGGCCGGGGCGGTGGGGGCCTAGGCGGCGCGTTGGCGGCCGACATGCCAGCTGGCCTTCCGACATCAACACGCAAAGGACAGAACAGATGGTTGTGGCCGAGTTCACCGCAGTACCCACACCGCTTGCGAGGGTCATGGAGGTGGATGAGAGGTTCATTTCCCTGCGGGCGGTACATATGGGGGGGGTAGGCGCTGTAGTCGTAGCCCCGCTGAGGTACAGGGTAGGCGGGGAGGTTGCTGCCCGGCGGTCCCTGGTGGAAAGGGCCTCTGCCCCTCCCACCGGAAGCGGCGCCACGCCCCCCGAATCTTCCTCCTGCCGGCTGCTGCTGATGACGTCCTCCTCCAGAAAAGCCCCGGCCCCCATGCTGGGGCCCGTGCCTTCCGCCGTAGCTCGCACCTTGGCCGCCCGAGGGACCTCCCCAACCCCGCTGCNTCGGAAGCGGCGCCACGCCCCCCGAGTCTTCCATCTGCCGCCTGCTGCCGATGACGTCCTCCTCCAGAAAAACCCCGGCCCCCATGCAGGGGCCCGTGTCTTCCGCCGTAGCTCGCACCTTGGCCGCCCGAGGGACCTCCCCAACGCCGCTGCAAGCGACATTCCTCGTTGCTGTGGGACGAGGAGTTGTGGAGGTCACAATATTTTATCTCAGGCGGGTACGGCGGCGGGTATACCTGTTGCTGCTGCTTGAAGTACGGCTGATGCTGCTGCTGTGGCTGCTGCGGTTGTTGCTGCTGTTGCCGCGCTGCCGCCCTCCGTTGTCCTCTCGTCTTCCCCCTATCCCCCATGTTCCCGCCCCCGCCACCACGGTTATCACCGCCAGTGACGAGGGCATACGCCCCCACGCTCTCCGACGCCCTCTTCCTAGCGGCCTTCGTCTCCGCCCAGGCAGTCAGAATCACCTTCTCTACCAATTCCGTCTTGGCCTTCGAATGCGCCAACAACACGTTCCTCTGCACGTTGAAATCGGGCAGAAGGTTGCGTACATAATGGACGTTAGCATCATGATCGGATTGCATCCAACCGTACGCTTCTAGTTTCTGGCGAAGTACTGATGCTCTTGTGAGATAGCGCCGGGGCTCCTCCCCTACTTGCTTCTTCAACGAGCACCACTGTCCCTGCAACTCCAACTTGTCCGTTTCTGCGTGCACTCGGTAAAAGTCGAGAAATGATCCCATGATGCAGTTGGGCAACCACTAGCTAGGATTGCAGGGACTGTTGTCGGTACTTGTATGTTGGATATAAATAGCTGCCAAGCCTTAACCGCCCGATCTACAGCGTTCGTCCCATGCTCCACCTTCAATGCCGAGATATTCGTATCCGTCCTCCATACACGAATAGTGTTCTTCGATTCTATTGCCCCAAGGCAACGCTCCTGCTCCAACAAAAGATCGAAATTGACTGGTGAATGTTGTCGTATTCGAGAGGACATTGGCATTGTTTTGAGAGGACACTAACTGGTACAAGATTCGTGTCTCGTGCATCAGAATGACGTTGCTCTTGAGAGGACATGTTGGGTATTTGCAGTGCAAAATCGGCTCTATTCTGCTGTGTGTGTTTGATACAGAATTGTGAAGGCGTGTTCCAAGTCTGTAACCGTCAGGTGAAGACAGCTTGGGCGTCTGTGTGTGGATAATAAATTACCCTGTGTTTCTCTACCCAACCCTCATGTCACACAAGCCAACCACAGCGTACAACAGTGGTCACGTTACGATGTACTTGATGCTGCTGGTGCTGCCGTGCGGACGTGCACTTCTTGCTCCCCTCGCTTATGTGCTGCTGGCAGAAGGCAAGCGGTTTCATCGTTTCCGACGTCTCGTATGTACGATGCTTTTGGTCGCACTTGGCCTACAGCATGTGTAGGATTCGATTGTTTGTCTCTGTTTCGGGGGTGTGGGTGCGTCACCACCGAATGTATCCAAAACAATACAACTAAGAAAGCACGTTTATGACTGCGGGTACCTGTGCTAAGACTTGTCTACAGCAGAAGCGTGTCACTTGGCCCGGTGGCGTCGCAGGAAAGTGCCCTTCGCCCGGTCGCAGGAGATACTCCATGAAGTTACGCAAGTTTCGGTCGTATCCACGACACCCCCCAAAAAAGTTGAGCGATTTAGTGCCGGTAAGTGCAGAGAAAATTCACCGGCACTTAACCGGACACCGGCACTATTCGAAGTACAGAACGACTTGGTATTCCAGTGGTTGTTGTTTTTTTTTTTTCTCCCATCATTGGACTCTGTCGTCTGCCCCTCTGGCCCCTATCCTCCACTTCTACTAGCTAGACGACCCAACCGAAGGTCACATAGGAGGGGGGGGTTGGACCCCCTCCTGCGGTTCATGCCTGAGGCATTTTTATCGCGAGAAGGGTACAGCAATCCCTTCCCTCGTGATTTACGAAGTCGATTATGGTCTACTAACAAACGAGCTTTGCAGCGCGTCGCTTTCATCCTAGACCAGGATTTATTCAGTGAGAAAAAAACTCTCTCTGCCGGGACTCGAACCCATGACCTGGTCCTTGTTGTTGTTGTTGTTGTTGTTGTTGTTGTTGTTGACTTCACATTAAACCGTATGCCAGTTGCTAAATGCCAAAATCTAGCAAAGACTCTCGGCCCGTGGTCACGAAAGTGCTGGAGCCATCTGAGGATCTAAAGAACACGCACACGTAGCAAGAAAAAGGTGTACAAGAGCCCGAAGAGGTACTACTACACCTATATATAATCCCTGCAGCACCGTACGCGTGCCCAAAACTGAACTACACGTCCGTCTCACCGTTCGACTACAGCAACATCACCCCCTACTTGTCCCACTCTGTACCAAAACGAATGATTGCCGACTACAGCATACTTGCTGTCTGAAGTGCTGTCTGTACAAAAACACCATGGTAGGCATGGAACAAGAAGCTGGCGGGGCACAAAGCTGCTGTCTGAAGTGCTGTCAGAATGTGTCTGCGGACGTACAGTGAAAAAGAACAACCAACCAAAGCCATGATTGCAATGGACAATCACCCGAACCTCTCCCGATCGTCTGTGTTAGGCACGCAGTGAAAATATCGACAATAGCTAAGAATCGTTCCACATTGAAGGGGTCTTCCACGATCAGGCACATAACCAAGGCACCCGGGTTAGCCACGCCATCTCTGACGGGTCTCTCTACAAAACCAGTGACGACGTCATCACATAGAACCAACACCGAAAATCAGGAAAAAAACGAGAAAAATTGACAACACAGATCATCAACAGATCAGATATAAATGTTTGTCCGTGCGCCACGGGTCGATGTCGCCCGCATGCTCCGGTGCCGCTGCTCCGTCCGGCGCCGGTGTAGTCAGCCCGAGCATAACGCCACTCGACCTGCTCCGTCCGTACACGCTCCCGTTGCTGTCCTTCCCAGTCGGTTCCTCGCTTTCTCCCTCGTTGCACTCAAGGTTCTTGGTCCTTAGCAGGCTGCGATGCCACCCACTAGACCACCGGGGCGGCTGTGTGCGAGCCGAAATTACCGGCACTATAACGGCAACCGGCACTATTCAACCGGCACTATATCGGGCCACCCATCACATATGTTTTTTTTCCATGCTAAAACTTCGACATGTATCACGACACGACCGCAATCCTGAGTAGACTATAAATAATATCTCTGTATCACATCCGCTGGTTCTCACATTCATTTCCTCCATGTCTCTGTATCACACCATGCCTGGGGTTTGATACTGAGTATCATGTTCGTTCCTCGATACTTCTACGGCTTGATACTCGGTATCATTTACTTCCAGTCTTAGCATCCAAACATCCGTCAGGGTTGATAATGAGTATCACATCCCGTGACAAGCAGATTGAATTGCTTCCAGTCTCAGTATCAGACCATGCCTCAGTCTTGGTGCTGAGTATCACGTTCGTTCCTCGATACTTTCACGGCTTGACAATCCATGTATTTTCCTTCCAGTCTCAGTATCAAGTCATCCGTCACGGTTTTGATCGAGTCTCACCTGCCTCTACGCTCACACGGCTCGATATACTCAGCATCACTTCCTTCCTGTCTCAGTATCAAACCGTCCGTCTCCATCGCAACTGCATATCACACCACACGGCTTGATACTGAGTGATACTCAGTATTCTAACCTTCTAGTCTCACTACCAAACCTTGGACCAGGGCGTGTTGCGAGCATCACATGCTTGGTACTATCAGTTCCTACAGTTTCAGTATCGAACAGTTTGTGACGGTTGCTACCGAGTGACACATACCTTTACACTCAACGGCTTGATTTACTCCTTTTCAGTTCCTCCCAGCTCACCTGCATCGTCACGAACAAACGCGGTTCGATACTCAGTTCCCTTTTCAGGAAGAATCAAACCATCCGTCAGGGTATTCACTGTATCGAGTATCACATGTCTTCATGGACGAACGAACACTGATTCATGATTCGCACAATCCATACCCACCCCGGCCTGCCCCCCCTGTCCCTGGGGTAGGCCGAGGTTCCGCAAGTGGATCTACTCTAGACCTCGAAAGACCACCCAGCAACGACGGATATACGGTCCCTGGCACTGTTTAGAGGGGGATCCTGAGTTTGGCGGTTGGAAATTACTGCTGTCGTGAGGTCGGGGTAGCTCCTGAGCCGCCAGCTTTGGTAGCTGCAAAATGAGACTAATCACGCCGTGGCGGTATGCCCCAGAGAGAGGAAAGGAGAGAGCCCAGAGATTGAGGGCCACACCGCTCCGGGACAAGAAGACAACTCTATGGGAAACAAGGCAAGAACCGGGGTAACTAGACTATCACGTTAGCCCGAGTGTTTGCAAGAAAATAGCACAAAAGCAAAAAAAGAGGGAAACATGGAGGAAAAGGAGGGGTCGGGGTGCGCGTAGGCTAGCTAAGAAAGCAGCGCGCGCCGCGCGAAAGAGACAGCAGGGTCAACTTCTTAGGGTAGCAACCTGGAATGTCGGGACTTTGGCTGTAAACTGGGCAATAGAATACGGGCGAGCTTACAGCGTTCTACACAAGGCAGCGAGACAAGACGTATCGGTGGTAGGAATACAGGAGACACGGAGGGCAGGTCGAACGGAATTTGCAGCAGCGGGTTTCCGGGTGTTCTGCTGTGGCACGGAGACTGGTGGAGTCCATGGTGTGGGATAGCCGTCAAAGAGTCACTGAGCAAGACATCCACGTTCACTACGGAGTTTATCGACGAACTCCTTATGGCCATGAGGTTTCTGGTGGCAGGCCACCGCGGAGTGGTCAACTTCGTAGCCTCGTATGCTCCAACCGACCCTTCAACCGCCGACAGCAAGCGCGTGTTCTGGGGAAAACTTGACAGTCTCGTGCGGAGGATCCCTTCCAAAGAATGTGTGTATGTCCTACTGGATGCCAACGCGTGGACGGGAGATAGGTTGGACGGAGGGGACGGAGGGGTAATAGGAATGTACGGGCGTGATGAGCTCAACGACAATGGCATGCTGCTGTTGAACGTTTCAACGGAAAACAGGCTACCTTTCACGAACACGTTCTTTGAGACACCCAAGGGCGGAAAATGGCACACATTCAACCGTGTGTCGGGAAACGATTGCAAGCCCCTTGACTACATCCTGACAAGGCAGGCACATCATGGCCGAGTATCTAACGTGGTCGTCATCCCCCAGCCGGTTCGCCCAGTCAAAGCAGATTCAGACCACAATATGGTAGTAGCCACCGTCAACCTCGGTGGCAGGCTTGCCCGCAACCGTGCAGTCCGGACTAAACCGAAACATAAGCAATTCAACCGACGGGAAGTGCACTTCGAAGCAGCACGGTGTGCGGTGACTAATCGGTACCTCCTCAACTTCGACACACGACTGGACGAGTGAACAACCACCGCCGCGGAATTTTCGACCGACTTTACCAATGCTCTCCTCGACGCAGCCTGGACGACCCTGGGGGAGGAACCGCGGAGACGCCGCACGCAGGAGTGGTGTGAGACCCCAGAGACGCGAGCAGCGCTGGAGCAGGCCCTTACCAAACGTCGGGAAGCGCGCCGGGCGATGAGGGGCAACTGGNGTGACTAATCGGTTCCTCCTCAACCTCGACACACGACTGGACGCGCGAACAAACACCGCCGCGGAATTGGCGACCGACTTTACCAATGCTCTCCTCGACGCCGCGCGGACGACCCTGGGGGAGGAACCGCGGAGACGCCGCACGCAGGAGTGGTGTTAGACCCCAGAGACGCGAGCAGCGCTGGAGAAGGCCCTTACCAAGCGTCGGGCAGCGCGCCGGGCGATGAGGGGCAACTGGAACTCAGCGACGTGAAGGGTTCTCAAA